TAAGCTATGTAATTATGAGCAAACAGTTCTATATTGCAATGAAGCAATGAAGCAACCAATCTAGGATTAATCTCAGTGCTTGCCAGCAATTCCTTGATAGCCATCACAGAATTCAAATCATAATTCCGAACGGTTGCCAGAGTCTATATCAATCGCATACATACATACATACATCGAACTTTATTTCATCTCGAATTAAGAGTAGCCGAGGAAAAAAAGAAAAAAAAAAGAAAGAAAAAATTTTCAATCCTAGAATAAAATGAATTACTATTTACATTAACTAGAAATAGTATAAGAATATCATCATCATTATTATTAGCTCATCATATAATTTAATTATGTTGACGAATTGCTGAAAGGAAATTATTTAAAGACGAAATAGCTCTCGACAGAGACAATTAATGTGCTCTTAACAAATAAGGCAGAAAAATACAAAAAGCATCTCTGCGCACTGAATAAATAGAAATCATGGTACGTGATATTTCCGTATGAATTTTAAAAAACAAAAATTAAATCCCCGTGCTACGTTTCTAGAGATTGAAAAGCTGCCACCATGATACCTTAACAACTTCTATTTTCAAAATTATTCTTTTAAAAATGACTTTGGTAAAATGTGTTCGCTGAAAGATTCCAGCTTAGAACTATTCGTATTTCAATACTCTTAAAATGTTATTCTTATGAAATCAAGTAATTTATTTTTCAATCACTAAATCTCTTTAGCTGGTATGTTTTGTTTACCAATTTCAGGTCATGCGATAATACTCTAGAGAACTGGTTCTTGCAAATTTCCTCCGATTACTTACTAAAACACGCATATTCACAAAAGTTAACGCTAGAAATCTATTGAAACCTGTTTAGATTAAACAAACATACACCCTAAAATGGTCTATTCATCCCTTGAGAAAATCTTTGATTTAATTGTTGATTGTTTGTTTTGCATGTAATTCTATACCTAAATGGTTTCACACCATTCTTAAGAAATGCTACCTTCAAAACATCGAGTTCCCGAGAATTGGATCAAGGTGTCACGAAGCAGTTTGCAGTTTTTATTGCTTTGGTGAATAAGTATTACCAGAAAAACAAATGGTCTCAAAAAATTTGAATAAAACGATTTTACTTCTTTGTGAAAACTTTTTCTTTCGATTACGATTTTTTCCCGACGCTTTTCAGGATAAGAAAGCTTCGACGCAGCCAAGTTAACAAACGTAACACGTGAATTGGGAGAATAAAAAGATGGAAACTATTGATCCAATTAAGATCAAAGCCAAATTCCCAGACCAACTAATGCATTGAAATGTAATTTGATTTTTGGTTTACCCAGGTTCACGTCTTATTGAAACTTTATCAGAAATCTACCTGAGATTCAAAGATAAAAACTTCGAACTATTTAAAAAATTATAAAATTTCTCGGCATATCCTTGAAATTTTGGTTTTAGTCTTAGGAGCTAAGAAATTTAAGGTTGAACTCCAACATGTGTTTTCAAGAAATATTGATAAACTTCGGAGACTACTTGAGAAAAAAATTGACATTTTTGAAGGATAGCCAAGAGCCAAAAATATAAAGAATTTGTCTCTTTTTGTTTCGTTTTTGATTTGTTTTTAAAATTTAACAATTAGTCTCCGAGATGAGTGAAACATATCAGTTATGTATAAACACATCAGGGCTTAATTCTTATCAGAGAAGTAATAAAGAGTTCATTGGAGAATTATAAGTTTGGAACATATCAAATTTGGTTTTAGGGGCTGACAGTTTCGAAAGAAACTGTTTGGGGCTGCGTCGGTGGGAGTAACGAAATAATTTGGATATATCAACAAAGTTGAAATGGTAAATTGGCCACCGTAACGATTACAAAAGCTGACGTTTCGAGCTTTAGCCCTTCGTCGGAGCCTTGGACATTTTAGGCTTTACGGGAATGATTCAAGTAGAAAAAACCTTAGAATATGATAAAACATTCAGGGAAAATTCCAAAAATATTAATGTCTGGAGCATATTCCCTCAGCCTCAAAAACTAAAACATTTCAAATTTAAACTTTGCGATGCTTTGAATGAATTAATGAAGTTTTAATATAAAAAAAAAAACAGTAGTCAGACCTATATATATGTGTATCAGAGATTTCAGATACTTACTGTTGAAGCATACTCTTAATTTTATTTTATTTCTCAGGAGATAAGACATTCACTAAAAAGGCTCAAATTCTTTTCTGCTTTCTGTTTTAGATTGAACTGATTAAAATAGTTCTTTATCTGTTTATGGTACAGATTTGCTATCACGTAAAAACCTTAAAAATTTCTTAACCTTTTCTGACGATCATCATGCTTATCTCTGAATTTCACACATCAGTTAAATTCAGATCTTTACACAGAACTGATTAATTCGTTAGAGAAAAAACTCAATTCACTAACCATAATTGAGGGTATCCTATTTTTCCTCCTTCGCTTGAATTTCCTGAATTCGATTCATTCCCATTCTTTGCTTTATGCTGCCCCAAAGAGAAAAAAGAGAGAAAAAAGAGTAAATATCTTTACTTGACTACCCTCTGTGAAAACTTAATATCCAGGGGAGGGGGGTGACTAATATCTTATTTCTCCCCTGCACTATCACCCCCGAATAAAACATCGAGTCACAAGAGGAAGGGATATCGTCGCCAACTGGAGAAGTTCTTTTTGTAAGATAAATTATTTTTGTTAGAACCATAAGGAATGTATAAATGCCTGTATGCTGACTATCTACTATGACGTTAGGGTGCAAAGAAGCGAGTATTTTGACAATTCTGTCGAGATGAGGTCACTAGAACTCAGTTATATTCCCAGAAGGAGAGCTACTGTAAATGTAGGCTTCTTTCCCAAGAATCCAACGCAATGACTCAATGAGGGCTTGAGGCCAGACCTCTCAATCTGGATCCTGGGCCGAGATATTCAGGGTTACGCTAAGAAGTTCTACCATTCCTGTCTCCGCTTAAAAGATCGGAATGAAACTTGTGATATCCACAAAAATTGTCAGAAATCTTTCCAAAAGTATTTCCACGTCAAATCTTTCTCATGATCCCTTCTTTCTTTAGTGGAGGTTGGGGTAAGGTCCGGGAAAAAGCACGTTTACAACTATTTCGACGTTTAAAATAACATAAAGATGAATAACTGTACATTGTATTAAGATAACAACAGAAATGAGAGTAGATTAAGAGGTAACTAAGAGATAAAGTACATATAAAAGAAGACAGTATTCTTGTTGCTCACCTGAACGTCACGTGGTTCAATAAAACTGTAATGGCGGCCGGCTTTCATGAAGGAGTGTTCTTGCACTGCACTGTATCTTGCATGCTATTTCTTTTTTGCATTCAATTCTGCAATTTGATTTTCAAGGACAACAACAAGAAACATAAACAGTGTATTTGTCTGAAATTTAAATATACGAAGGTTATTTATTTACCTTGAAAACAGCGAGACAAAATGACATCCATTGATCCTCGACGTTGAGTTAAAACCACTCAGTTCTGCTACCCTTAAGAAACGCACGACGGACCTTGACAGAACAGACGATATCCAACGTAATAAGGTTGAAAATAGGAGTTTCCTGGCTCCAGAGTGGCTGAAAAATAAGCTGAAATTTCTTGTAGTTCAAAACCTCTTTCCACGTGCAAGACTACTCGCAAACATGAATATTAATTTTAAAAAAATACATTTGAAATTCAAATGAATTTGAAACTTTGAAAGGCGGCGCGAAAATTGTCGAAAGGCTCTTCGGTTACTTTCTATCGGTTGTAAAATGAAATACAATGAATAGCTGTATATTAAATTTCAAACTTCGCTAATGAAGTCTAGCGTGCCAGCATGGCCAAAAGACTGGACGAAATCCTTTTGTCTCAAGACTAACTTGACATGGACTGAAAGTTCGCAGGAAATTCTATTTTTCTTTCATTCAGTAGCAATGGGTGAACCGTTTTCTATACATGGGAACGAGAAATCTCCAGAAAACAGCTCTTCGACGACGAATCGTAAATACTTCCCAAAACTTGTCATTATTACGATTAAATCTTTATTGCACACACCGTCATTTTTTAAGAATTTAATTCATACTCATTTTTATACAACAAATATCGAAATTTTCCAGGAAATTCTTTCTTAAGATATTCGACAAAAGCACAAGTAAATAAGTAGAGGGTGCTAATCTAACTATAAAGCGAGTTTTAACTGAGTGTCGAAAGCAGCACAGAATTCTCTTTCGTTTGAACTTATCACCTTACAATTGGCTAACAAACTCGCGCCATCTACAGATGTTACTGTCACCAGGCGCGTAACGTCCTCGACGCATATACGCACGTGCGTACTTGAAGTGACCAAAAAAATTTGAAAACAATGTTGTGTTTGCGCCAAGTTTGCTCAAAATAAGGGCAAGACGCTTTGTTCTTTGCTTGTATTCACACAACTATTTCAAACAAGAAATAAAGAACGTAGTATTTTTCGCTCAGTTTACTTAGGTTTCTAAATCATATACTTGTGCGTACTTGAAAAAATGACCACGCTACGCGCCTGGTCACGTGTTCGTTTAGCGTTCTTAGTGGACGGTTGTGTTGTTTTCCTTTGCTCTAACTGGCTAATAGAATACCAATGGTTTCTGTTTTACAACACTCGCTTCAAAACTGTCCTATAGTGAAAAACAATCTATTTTCATCTCAAAGCAGATCTCGTTGCAAACATGGAAATCAGCAGAGGTGCAACCCTCTGACTACCAAGATCTAAACAATAATTACCCTTGTAAACTGTACATTTTTGTTCTAAGATTAGCTCTGAGAATTTTGAGTTACATCTAACAGCATGCCCCACTTACTATTCCTATAAATTCTCGTAAGTAAGAGGGTCGAAAAAAAAAAACCCTCTATACTTTTCTTTGCCAAATATGGCTTCAGATTAAGCACAATTTCTTTTTCTTATCCGCTTCAATGGCTGGAAGAATCCCACGACAATTTAATTAATTTAGATATCCGTACAGAATACAGAATTCTTTTTTTGAGACTATTTACCAACAGCATTGCGGGGGATCAAGTGAACGCCTATAAAATATCCCAAGGAGCTGTAATTTCTCTGACTCGTTCCCGTTGTACAGTAGCCACCTTGGAAGTCGGGAAGGTACAGTACTACGAGTATCTTTTGAAGTGTGATTTTTTTTTTCCTCATTATAGTATTTTCAAGAGAGTCTTTGGTGAAGTTCAAAAACCTTATCTTAAAATTTAATGTCAAGTTATCTCCCTTACACGCTTAAAAGCGAATGCTTGATGTCTTTCTGCATTAGTCTTCAATTTAACGTTTTCCATTTACTGCTTTCGATGCACGGATCGGCGGTTTTACCAGGTCAGCGTACTCTTGTAGCGCCTCTCGCAAAGCTCGTCGGACAGGGGTTGAGTTACAAACGGTGCATTCCACAAGACGCGGGTAGAACTCAACGACTTGTTCCCAGATCTGTGCGTCCACTGAAAAGAAAACAATGAAACGTCAGGTTGGCTTAATTGAACAAGAAGAAAACAAATCACGTTGGATATACACGGGCATAGCGTTATCTTTGACGAGGAATATTTCACTTTAAGAGGAAAGAGGAGAACAATGAAGCTTACCAACTGTAGGGTTTTCCCTAACAGCTCTTTTCAAGGATGCCAGCAATGTACTGATGGCTTTCATGACAAAAGACATCTCCGCCATTCGTGTTCTGATGAATAATACACACACACTTAAATAGGTAACACTTAAAATCTAGAAAAGAAGCGGCAAATAGATCGGCCATGTGCTTTGAATGCCACTATCAGCCCTAGTCAGAGTTGCCCTTCGATGGACTCCCGACGGCCGACGTAAAACTGGCCGCCCATGGAAACTAGGAGGAGAGGGTAGATATGGGATGTACCTTGACCTGACTGGCAACCGACAGAAATCAGTGGCACTCTCTGTTCTGACGCCGGTGCATGGACGCACGAAAAGGACTTTCTGACGACGTCAAAGCTGAATTATGTGAGATCTCTCAAAGAAATCGTAAGAGGGACACGTCGGGCAGGGATGGTCTGCTCAGTTAAGCATAAAAAGTCAAGTTGTTACCTTGGTAGAGGACATTTTCCACTCAGTTTCTCATCTTCCACGTATTTAACAACAACGTCACTACATCGTCTCAGAAGAGCGTCCAGCGCCAATTCTGACACCTTACCGTCTATAACAAAAGTGAAAATGCGGTCACAGCAAACTCCCTTGCTACATTAACCCTAGAACTCCCATTGGTGACCAAGACAGAATTTCTCCTTACAATATCAAGCAGACAAGTGATGAGAATAAAGAAAAATATCAATTAGGGGATTACTGCTTTATCCAATACCAAATTCGGAAAGAGTACCATATAACCCCATACATTAATTATGCATTCCACTTCTTTGTCTTTCACGACAGAACTTTAAA